GGTGTAGGTAGGGTGGTGAGGGTGACCATTTAAGAGGCTGGCATTGGGTCAGGGGCAGTGGCTCACACCTGTAATCCTAGCACTTTGAGAGGCCGAGGTGGGTGGGTCACCTGAGGTTAGGAGTTCGAGATCAGCCTGACCAATATGGTGAAGTCTCATCTCTAGTAAAAATACAAAAATTAGCCGGACATGGTGGCGGGCACCTGTAGTCCCAGCTATGCGGGTGGCTAAGGCAGGAGAATCGCTTGAACCCGGGAGGTGGAGGTTGCAGTGAGCAAAGGTTGTGCCACTGCACTCCAGCCTGGGTGACAGAGCCAGACTCCATCTCAAAAAAAAAAGAAGCCTGCATTGAAGGGCAGGATCAGTGAGGCTGGCGTGTAAACGTCTCCAGGTAGTGTCTGAAAGGTCAGGGTAGGTAGCAGATCTCCGGACTTTTCCAGGTAGGACGGGAGTGCACAGAGGCCCCCAAGGAGAGCTAGGTGGGCAGCCAGGGTCTGAGCCCCCTAGGATCTGGAGGGCTGGGCAGGGAAACTGAGGCCAGAGCCCAGGCTGAGCCGGCATGTTCAGCAGTGGGGATTGCAGCTCACAGGTCACCCCATGAGGTGGGCCTTCTCCCCATCTTCACCGCAGATTCACACAGAGGTCTAGAGGTGCCTGGGTGCTGACTTGGCACTCTGGGTCCACCCAGCTACCCCCAGAGAAGCCTGGGTGACTTCTGAGACTCCCCTGCTTAAGGGCCATGGTGGCTGCTCCTGTCCGGGGATCACTGAAGGCCCTAACTTCCTCCTCCTGTCCCACTCCTTCCTTCCTTTTGAGCTGCTAGACCCCCTGACTGTGTGGGCTGGGAGGGGCTGGGGAGTTTCCTGAGAAGCCCTGGACTGTCCCCACCTCAGCCTGAGTCACACTGAGAGCTCAGCAAGGATTCCTTGAGCATCTGTGAGGTGCCAGGCACTGGGGAGCTCATGGTGGATGAATGAGGTACAAGCTCTGCCCTCATGGAACTGGAGCTGGCATCTTTTTTTTTTTTTTTTTTTGAGACAGAGTCTTGCTCTGTCACCCAGGCTGGCATGCAGTCGCATGATCTCAGCTCACTGCAGCCTCCTCCCGGGTTCAAACAATTTCCTGCCTCACCTCCCAAATAGCTGGGATTACAAGTGCCCACCATCACACCCGGCTAATTTTTGTATTTTTAATAGAGATGGGGTTTCACCATCTTGGCCAGGTTGGTCTTGAACTCCTGAGCTTGTGATCCACCCACTTCGGCCTGTTAAAGTGTTGGGATGACAGGCATGAGCCACCGCATCTGGCCAGGAGCTGGCATTCTAATCAGGAGGTTGGGAGGGACAGACACTGAACCATATATGTGACACCCACCATATATGTGAGTGATGATAATTACACATGGGGAAACCAGAGGTGGGGAAGGGACATGGGGCGAGAGAGAGAGAGTGTGTGTGTATGTCTGTGTGTGTATCAGGCGTTGTGAATTCTAAATTGAGTGAACATGAGATCCCAGCAGAGGCCAGGAATGGTGGCTCACGCCTATAATCCCAACACTTTGGGAGGCAGAAGCGGGCAGATCGTTTGAGCACAGAAGTTCAAGACCAGCCTGGGCAACATGATGAAACTCTGTCTGTGCAAAAAAATACAAAAATTGGCCAGGCATTGTGGCATGCACCTGTAGTTCCAGCTACTAGGGAGGCTGAGGTACGAGGATCACTTGAGCCTGGGAGGTTGAGGCTACAATGAGCTATGATCATGCCACTGTACTCTAGCCTACAACAGAGTGAGTGAGACACTGTCGCCA